CATCCCGCACACACACACACACACACACACACGAGTCTCTGCACTCGCCTATCAAGTCTTGTCCCGCACTCTGTTGCGTCGGGTCTCGCGGGAGCAGGTCTATAATCCACTGGCACTTGACTCGACAATGCGTGTGCTGCATCCTTTTTACAATCTCCAGATTATAAAACACTGCATTCTGTCAGCAATGTAACGCGGCAGTAACGTATAGAGACCTCGGCTTGTAACTATACTCTAATTACTATTTTGAAAATTATAACGCGTTAAATTACTCCGTTACTAAAAAAGTAATCAAATTACAGTAATGCGTTACTAAGTAATGCGTTACTGCCCAACACGGGTTCTAAGGTGGCTAGGATGTTGTTATGGTGTTGCTAGATGGGTGTTCTAAGGTGGTGATATATGGGGCAACTTTTTTGAACAATGTTGTTTGGGCACTTTTCCATTGAGAATGGGCAACAAATTTCTATCTGGATACTTTAGATCGGTCGAGGTGCCCTGTGTCTCACCTGGTTGCCCGTTGACGGCAACATTGCTCAAAAAGTTGCCCCGTGTATCATCACCTTTAGAGTGATCTGGAATGTTGTCCACTGGTCCAAGTCACAAGATATGCCCAGGGATATGATTTCAATTGGACAGTCACATCCAAACATAAAAAAAAAAAATAATGTAGAAAACACACTCTCACCTTTCCTAAAAGAGGGCCTTGTATAATCTTGGGGTATTTCTGTGTGGCGCTGTTCCCATGGCCCAGTTTGCCGTAATCTCCGTCTCCCCAGCTGAACACCTCTCCCTCCGCCGTGACGGCGAGCGTGTGTCCGTCTGATCCCTTGGAAGACGACACCTTCCTCATGGTACGAGGCGGTTCCAGAACCAGCTTTTTGGGCATGGACTGGTTATTAGAGTCTCCCAGTCCCAATCGACCATAACTACCCTTCCCACAAGCCTTCACTGCACCATCAGCAGATACAGAAAACGTGCAGTACTGGCCTGCCTCAATCTGCAGGTGGAAAGAGAAGAGCACCATTTAGAGCCAAGTGAATTGAATCAACTGTGATGGAGATTGCCTAAACTGTATTAGTGAAAGGGCACAGTTTATTAAGATGTGGCTGCTGTTTTCTAAATTGCATTTCTCAATAATAATGAAAAGACATGTCTGTTTTAAAAAGTAGAGACTTCAGATTAGGTAACCAGTCTTTGCACAATACATACTCTGTTAGTTAGAGAGGAAACAAAGAAATTTAGTTCAATAAGCTGGTCTACTATTATTTATAATGCAGTCAGTAACCACTATGAAACTGACGGCATTATAAACTATATACTGTTTAAATAAATAAATAAGATAACTTCTTGTGGCATCTTAAAGCTGTAACAAAAGGCACAAAAATCTTAAATTAAATAAAGTAGAAAAATAATATAAATATTAAAAAATAAAATAAATAAAAAAGGACAAAATATGCCCTATTTTCAGATTTCAATATGCATATTTATTTTGATGATTTTACAAAAAAATAATAATTTAGTAAGCAAATTAATTAATTAATTTACAGATCCCACTTTTTCTCCCTATCATTTCTTGTCACCTCTTAAAGCTGTAATAAAAATAAATAAATAAATTAAATAAAGACACAAAAATCTGCAATAAAATAATTAAATGTATAAATAAAATGTTTAAAATATAAAATAAAATGAAATGAATGAAAAAGAAAAAATGCCATTTATATTACCAGATTTCAATATGCATATTTCATTCAATCATTAAAAAAAAATTATAATAATTTGGCCCTATATGATGGATCTGTTGTCATGCAGCTAACAATTTAATTTACAGTACACTTTCTATTTATTTCTGTCATACAGAAAGTGGAACGAAAGGACCTTTTAATTAAAAGTTCTTTTGTAAAACTGTCAAACTGAGCGTTGCGATCTGACTCATTACATTTTTCTTCAAGTGGTCTGTCTCCTCCTCCCCATGCTGTCTCTGTTGAAATTAATGTTAGCTTCACGACGGCTTCCAGTTATTTGGATTTTCAATACACTTGAGGAACATAAACCCACACAAACCATTTGTGCATCGCTGAAGCCCTGAGCCAGTTTGGGCTGTAAAATCTTCTCCAGCGTTCCCTCGGCGAGTTGATGGCTGCTGTTGCTGCCCCACACGTACACCATGACGGCATCAATTTCGGAGCCGGAGGAAGAGGAAGAGCCCGCACTGCATAAGCACAGGCAGTTAGAGGCCAGGGTGCAGATCTACAACACACATGCACATATACAGATTAAAAATGTACTTATCAGAATAAATAGTGGCCAAAGTCTCTCATACTCAGCCTGAGAATTTTTTTTATAACACATAATACTACAGTCTGAGAACGCTTGTAGGTTTATTCACACAAACACACCTCTTCAAAGAGGCAAAGAGCAACATGCGAGAGGCTACAGAGTCCATCTGCATCTTTCTTCAGCACCTGAGTATTGATGGATTCACCACGAATAGCCTGCAACAACAAACAACAAATTAATCCCAATAATATTAGCAGCTACAATATATATTGCTAATTGAAATACTATAGAAACACAAAACCTGATAACATACTTAATGCATGTCACTGATACATCTATGTGATCAAGTTTTTATTCTAACAGTGTTCTAACCACAGCCTTTAGCTCTGACAAAATAAAATGGTGGCGTATTGCTTGAAGTTGCAATGAAATGGAAGTAGTGACAGATCCTTTCTCCCATATTATGATGTAAGGCTGTAATTTTCGGAAAAGAAAAACTGTAGGGTAGGGGCTTGGTTCAATCCATTGGTTGTTGATTGAATGATTAAGAATTACGAGGTCAAAACAAACTGGAAAAAAATTAAACACACACGGTTCACAACTGTTCACAATAAGATCAATGGATTTAAAAATAGATAGGGCGAATTTTCTTTTCATTCCGACTTTAAATATAATGCTTAAAATAGGACACAATGTGTTCCAGATGATAGACTCTTTCCAAAACATTTTGATAATGGCTGGTCAATATTACTCGAAAATAAAAGCATACATTTATGTTTTCAAATTCACTAACACCACCCATTCAAAAGGTCGATTAAATGATAGGAACAAAAAGTGAAACTGCAATCGCAACCCAGGTCACTTCTGTAATGGATTAAAACTAAATATTCATAGAGAAAACTAAATGCAGAGTAGGACTTGTGAGGTGATAAGTGACCTGAATGAAAAGTTGGCTAAAACGCAACATCTAAATCACTGTTTGACTATTGGTTAGCATTATCAAGTGGCCCAGGCAACATAGGTCGACATTAGCATGAAAGGAAATTAATTTACTATGTTTTGATTGAAGATTGAGAAGATAGTCTCTGGCTCCACCTCACCAAAGTACTGAACTTTGTACTCAGGAGTAGGAGAATATTTAAACTAACAGCTCCTTTAGTACAGGGAACAACTTCTGCTGAACTTCAAGCACAGAAGCCTTGAAGTAGACATATTTCCCATTGATTAAGACATGAATAAATTAGAGCACGGCACATGGCAGGTCTGGTGTGGCTCAGGCAGCTTTCAGAGCTGGGAAGATGGCCAAGAGCTCCCGGTCAAATGAAAGCTACAATCTTATTTAGAGCAAAGAGAAATGTTCAATCCATTCCTGCCCTCAATGAGAGGAATACAGAATAATGGTAAACTACTATATGGCGCTAATGTATTAGCAGTAACAATTAGCAACAATGACTTCCTTTAAGTGCTGAGGGAGGGATGAACAAATGGAGGAAAGTATTAGCCTAGCCTCAGTGCCGTAACTCTATACTCTCTCTGCGTTTGAAAGAGGCACAGCTTTCTAAATTAGAGCCCATTATCCATTGGTATTACTGTATATTACTTCACTCATGCCATTAGCATGACCGCTAGGTCATCCGCATGGTGCAGGAACACACCGTGTGCTGGCGCATCTGTTGCAGGGTTTGATGGATCAGCTCGTAGCCCACTCCAACTGTTTCAGTCGTGGTGGAGGCAGCGGAGGCGGCCAACGCCACCTCCACCCACTCCAGAAGGAAGCGCAAGGATCCTCTTTGTAAGGCTAACGAGAGAAGGAGCTCCAGGGATAGCCTGCGACCCGCCCGATCCGCCCCGGACCCACTGACCGCCGTCTTCTTTAGGAAGTCTCCAACCTGCATAAGACAGTCAAGCCCCACTGTCGGGATCTTGTTCTCGTTGGCCAAGGAAAGAGGAGGCAGGGCGGCCAGGACTGAAGACGCGGTGGCCAGTACCTCGTTGCACAGAGCGACGTCCGGTGGGTTCTCAAGATGCCCCCTCTGCCAACTCTGCCTCAGTAGGGCAAAAAGGAGACTCAACCCAGTCCGGACTCCCATTTCAATTAGAACATCTGTGCCCGACTTTGAACGGGAACTGCCTGTTGGCCAAGGCTCAGACACTGACTCCAGAGTGCCCCCTTCTGCACTGGAGGATGAGGGTTGGGGAGGCAGCGGTGCTCGGAAACGGTCGTGATACTTGCTATGGAGGGCGTAGAACACCCTCTGGAGGATCACCAGTCTGTGGTGCAGGGATAGGGCAAAGGGGGTCCTCGCCAGCATGCGGTGGGCCAGGCATCGCTGACTGTGGAGCAGTGCGGACAGATATTCCTCCTTCTCCTCCTCAGCGCTGGATTCGTACTGGAAGTCGGGCAAGCGTGGACCCATTAGGTCCTGCACTGGCTGAGCCAAGCCCACAACCTCTTTGTTGTAGACCAGTTTTGCATAGAGAGCAGCAGCTCCGTGCCGTGTGGCGGTCTGAACGCTGTCCTCCGCCGCCCAGGAGCTGTTCAGGTGCTCCTGCCACTTGAGCATCACGTGGGTCTGAGAAGGCACCATCACTGTACATTATTCACACACAAGAGGCACAAAGCTGGAAGAGAGAAAAAGAGAGAGGAAATTAAAAACACTGTTCAAGACTTAGCAAAGATTTCCGATGTGAGTTCGAAGGTTTCCGGTACAAACCCTACATGGTATGAGACACCGCAATTATACCCGAGCAAAAAACGTAAGGTGTGGTCACATTTACCATTGCTCTGTGAAATGTCATGGGCAAATTCCAGTCATGTCAGTAAGAATCTGTCTGACTGGGAGTTTTAAGTGAGGGTAAAAAAGATTTTGCTCGTGTTCGAGTTGCTCACACGAATTCACCATGTTGTCCAACAGAAAGCTAAGTGGGTTTGAAAGCGACTTATGTGTGAGAGGTGCTTCATGCATCACTATGCTGCTGACACTATTTTTGCACTTTGCTACTGGGAGAATCCCATATTCTAAGTTCAAATTGCTCTTCTTAGCCGAAAGGATGTTAAAGTTGTTGAATTAATAAATACATTTAATTTTAATTAATTTTAATAAATAATAATAAATACATTTAAATAGATAATCTAATCTAAATGTATAAATATAATTACAAAATAAAAATAAATAAATATTCTAAAACATTACATACTTTGAATTCCGTAGGCTGTTCTAAACAATAGGCACCACAACTTCTGACCTCTATGATGCCTCATTGTTACTAAATAATAAGGAAGCATGGCATTTATCCAGTCAAGTTTCTAGGCAGCTCAATAGGTTTTGGTACAGAGCTTGTGTCTGGCATCTTCACAGTTTTGTTTGTTATGGTGCATCTTGCATTTCCATTCATAATGCAAACCATGGACATGTTACCCATACTATTCAAATTATTTGTCGACCAATGTGTGTATTACAATGGTTCATTCTTAAATAATATTTGGTCCCCCTCAATCCAGAATATGTGGTTACATCCTTGTAAGAAACAGGCTACAAACTGCTCTCCTCCAATAACAGACGTACGTGTCTCTCCTCCAGGGCCTTTCTGAAGGAAATTTCTTGACAGACTGCGCTTGTTTTCCCCAGTCAGGATGTAAGAAATGTACCAGAGAACATATGTAGAAGTGAATCAAGGTCATTTTCATGAGGCATGGTTTGATTAAACATGAGGAACACATCGACTTATGCACAGCTTACTTATGCCGATGACAACAATAGTCATGCTTCACAGATAAAGCGAATCACGGGGCCCCACATCTTTGTGACTCATTACTCAGAAGGTTTAGACTTCACCCTAATCTAGTTACTATGTGTAAAACTGATTACAGACTCTAGCAGCTGTAACTAGCCTACAAATAACCTAATGAGAGATGATGTGAAGATGAAAACAGCACACAGGGTTCACCTTTCTGGGTCTCTTTCCAAACTGAGAGATAGCTTTCATCTGAAGATGTAACAATGAATAGCTTGAGAGCTGTGACATTTAAAAAAAAAAAACAGTTTGAGTATGTGATGTATTAGTTCAAACTATAACCTGTAAGCTCGAAAGACGATGGAGGCATTTTATTATCCCAGCATTGACTTTTTATGGCTATCCCCTTAAATGTAGCTACATGTCAGTAACACACACAAAGTTGTATTACTGTGCTCTGTTAAATACGATAAACAGATTTCTACATATCTGCCTATTTCTAGTTACATAACCAACACTGAAGACTGGAGTAATGGCTGTTGAAAATTCAGCTTTGTCATCACAAGAATAAATACATTTTAAAACATATTAAAATAGAAAACAGATATTTTAAATTGTAATATATCACAACATTACTGATTTTACTGTAATTTTGATTAAATAAAGTCACCTTGGTGAGCATTTCGAAAACATAAAAAAAACCTAATGACCCCAAACGTTTAAACATGCAGTGACTATACATTATCTTTTATTTATCATACACAATATTAACTTTCACAACTTTTCCAATGCTCTAAAGATGGGTTATTTCCATTTTTTTATATAAAAAGAGGAAATGAGGAAACTCCAGTGGTTAGGATGAGATCAATACTCATGATGTTTTATTTCAGTCTCGGAAAACATGATCAGCTAACATATGAATATGAAACCTTCCTCGATTATATTTGGAAATCAGTAGCCATTCAATCAGTAATGACTGACATGATGAATCCAACACTTGCACAGCAGTGTGATCTAAAATGGAAATCCAGGACTAAAACCTTGAATAAACCAGACACCATCAGCCTGAGAATTGAGCAACCTGGACGCCTGCCTCAGTTTCTCTCACGTCAGTGAAACCGGGTGGCCTTCTCATCACTTCGAGCAAGTTACCACCACCTCCTGTTGGTCAGTGTCCATGAGCAACATGACCCAGCACTTCCACGTCTGCCCTGAGTCTTACACCGCGGGATTTATTACACTCGACAGCCTCTACGGTTTCACTATGTATAAAAATAAAAAGGATGCTTCTCAAAGCTGCTTCACAGTTATGTGGGAGGTGGTGTGGGACCGAGTGTCACATTCCCTGGGAACTCTGACTAATCCTACGAAAACCATGACAATAACAAGTCCTTAATGTCTCTATGTAAAGAGACGCTGAGCTTATACTCTGAGGTGTTTACCACTTTGCAGACATATTGGCGTGAGTACAATGCACTGGTGGGTGTAAATATAGACAATCCTCAGTTACATGTTACTATTAATAATCAGAAAGAGGAACAGTAGTTATGCACCCAAACAGTAATTTTAGAGCATGTTTAAAAATAGATCAGAGGACATACAGTTTTAAACCAGTGTTGATTTGATAGCTGTTGCGTATGCTTTACACATTAAACTAGACGACAAAATAACAGCTGGGTTATTCCCGCTAAGAAGTACAAATGTGTTGGATATTATATTAAACTCACATTAAAAAAAAAATAGTAATAATAATAAAATGAACCATATTAGTTAGTTTTCATACACTACTGTTTAAAGTTTTGTGGTCGGTGAGATTTTTGTTTGAAAGTTTGTGTAAAGGCAATTCAGAGAATTGTAACACTATAATAACTAGAGCGCATTAGCGTCAGTGGTTTGCCCGCTCAATCGCAAGTTACTGTCATTACTGTTAGTTACTACAGTACAGCCTACAATTTGCTAGCTAGCTATGCCTTCGTCACGTAAATGCATATTACCTGGTTGCGATAACTTACAGAATACCGCTTGGTCTCCTTATTTAAATTTATTTGTATTTGACAGTTGTGAGAGGCGGCAGCTTCCCGCAAATGAGCGTGGTTTCAGGGCCGACAGCAGACATAACACCTACTCCTATCATGCAAACTAACAAGTAATTTATTCTTATGCTTAATTATTCTTTATGCTTAATTTTCAGCAGCTACTCCAGTCTTCAGAAATCATTCTAATATGCTGATTCACTGAAACATTTCTTATTATCATCAGTGTTGAAAACAGTTTTTGTGGAAACAAAGGTACATTATTTTCAGGATTCAGGATATTTTCTAGGATGACTAGAACGTTCAACAGAACAGCATTTATTGGAATTTTGCAATATTATAATTGTCTTTACTGTCACTATGATCCATTAAATGCATCCTTGCTGAATAATTTATTTCCATTAAAAACAAAATAATAATTAAATACTAGGTGTATATGCCAATGATATTTAATTACTTCAGGTTGGGGGAAAAATTTGTGAAAAACTGGCAAGTTAATCAAATATTTATTTTGACAAGATCAAGGATTTTTCTCCTCTAGAGTCAAAACAAACCACTGCCCATCCTATTAGACTTTTGTAAAATCCCTTTAACTAAAAGCCAGCTTCTTAATAACATTATCCTCCAGCAAGTCACATCATTTTGGATGATGTGCAACAGCACAAATATCAATATACACTAGCAACAGATTTTATGATGTATGTGCTGTTGCAATGTTTGTTTAACTTTAAAACAACCCAGTTTGATAAAATTACAGGCATCAGTATGATAGAATAAAAAATTCAATTCTCTCAAAACTCTCAGTGCCTTACTAATTTTAGCATCCTGTTAATTTTCTTAGTCTTTGTGTAAATAATCACATCTGACCAAAGCATGATAAAAGCATGAAAGTCTGCTACATCTTTTTATGGAAATATTTTCTTAAATTACAACACAAGCATATTATTTAAAAAAATATATTTTTACAGAGTTCATAAGAGTGCTGCATAACAAGAATGCCCTATTAAAAATTGGGATTATAATAACATATCAATCTCCTGTCTCTTTTGTCTTAATTCCTGAAAAGTTTTCAAGTATATTTCCTGGAAACTCAGATGCAAATGAGCCCACAGTCAAATGATGGAACGCACAAAAGATGTTAACCGGAAACAGAGACCACAGATATACCACAGGGTCATTCCCAGCCACAGAGGTGTAGGACTGAGCTTGAATCAATCAGACAAACATAAAGCTGTCCAGCCAAGATTTTCCATTGCCAAGTGCCTATCACTGTTGACCTTCTGTTGTAGACTGAAGTGGATTGAATTCAGCCAATCAGAATAGCCTGGGGGACTGATAGTCTGAACACCTGACTTGATCCAGGACAACTGTGACAACTAAAACTTCCATCCAGTCTGATCACATTTCAGACAGAGGCCATCAAAACATAGGGCATGTCAAGGTTTCAATGCATAAGAGGAGAAGAGAGTCAAAGGAGATAATATAAGGATAGCTACAAAGCTGAGCTTTGAGGTTTGTGTTGAATATGAGTGCAAAATGTCTCCTGAACACTGTGTATAAACATTAAATGTTTCATTTTTTCATATCAGAAGTGTCTGGCACCCGTTATGTGCTCTGGATCAACTTGTTTGGACCTCAAAGTAAACAATAAAGACTTTGATTATGAAACGCACCATAATGTCATGCAACATGCACTAAGAGGAAGTTCTCCTCTCACAGAATTGAGAAACTAAATAATTATTTTTTTAAACCTAAAATAATCATTAATTTTAGCCAAAGTGACTGTCAGAGAAATCTGATGTTAAAGTTCTGTCATCATTTACTCACCTTCATGTCATTCCAAAACACACACACACACACACACACACA